TATAAAAGACAATTAATGTTTCAATTGAAATTTGTAATATAAATCTATAAATTATTCAATACTATGAAGAAATAAGAAAACATTTTTAACAAAAACCATTCAATACAATTTGAATTCTTATTTACTAATTAAATAAATTTTATTATATTTACTTTTGATGAAAGTCATTCGATCATTTTAAATATTTATAAATTAGATCAATCTCAATATAATTTACAAAAAAATATTTAAAATGGTAATTTAAAACTATAATGAATAAAAATAAAATAATTTCCAGCATTTGTATTTTTATTTGTAGTGTAGATTATAAATTTTGATTATAAATATAATTACATTTGTATATTTTATATAATTACTTTCTATATTGGATTAATTAATTTTTTAAAATAGTGCCTATGTACTTTTATTTAAGTAGAATAACGTATAAATAGTATCATTTTTATCAAAACTAATTTTCGTTACACGTGCATTGCATATTAAGCGTTTCATTTGTGAATTTTGCGATCACAAAAATAAATAAGAAGAAACACATGAATTTTAAAAATAAACACGTTCAGATTATGTTAATGTAATTATAAAATGATAACTAATTACATAGTCAATAATAAAACACAAAGTATAACTCATAATTTATAAACTTAAATCAATCCAAATTACTTATAAATACAATTAAGGTTAATAAGTTATTGAGTGAGATATGTGATCTATAATTGACACTTTATTTTCCGTCGGTAAGTCCTGTCTTCCCAAACACGTCCGGTAGATCACTGGAAATATGTTTGGGCCGGCCCTGCCCCACTTAAAATGGAGTGCCTTTGTTGGCAAATACTACAGGCTCGATTAGCTGTTAAGAATATCCTAGCCCGTCGAGGTCTTACAGGAGTGGATACAACTTCTTCATTACTCTGCCGAGGAGATATTGAAACCTTAAGCCACATTTTTTTCGGTTGTAGTAAATCTTGGCTCCTGTGGCAATAGTAGGGAGCCCTTTGGAATATTCATTTGGTGGTTCACAAAGACCCAAGGATATGCTCCATCTCATTGGTGGAGGAGGCAGATTCTATTAGCAACTAGTTAATATGGAAAATGACATGGTACGCCTTATTATGTACTATCTAGGCTACAAGAAATGAGGTTATCTTCAAAAGCTAAACGTGGGATGAGGAGCAGGTCTTTGAGAGAACGAAGCTATGTGTTGCATGGAGGGCTAACACAAAATAGCCTGATCATAATATCTTCATTGGTGATCTTGCTGAGTACCCGAATGAAAGAATTATCCATGCTAAAAGCAAGAAACCAAAATTTATGATGGCTGATGACATGACAACAAATACAAGCACGCAGATGCTGATGTGGATTTCTATCAGCTACTAACATGATCAATTTCCTTCTTTTCCATCTCACCTGCCATTTGTCAAAATATCATTGGGTGGTAAAAGTAGGAAATCAGGTAAAAAAATTGAGGAAGATTTCATGGAAGAAGAAACCTTTGGTTTTCGAAGAACCCTAAACCCAAAACGCTTGCAATTTTTGAAACCTATTGTCAATTATAAATTTGAAACCCCCAAAACTAGAACCTCAATTACAAAAATAGAAGTATAAATGGATTTCTAAAAGAGCCGCTAATCGATTTAGAAAAGAAACGACAAATCCATCGAAGGAGACAACAAATCGATTTGGAAAAGAGACAAAAAATCTAGGAAGAAAGAGATGACGAATCGATTTCGAAAAGACACGACATATCGAGGAAAAAACAAAGAGAAAGATAGAGCTGTAAAGGAAAAAACTAACCACGAAGGTGTGTTGGATTTTGGGTTTTTTTCTTTGTTTCTTTGTTTGAAAATTAACCTGTTTAGGGTTTATAATTGTGGACTGTTAAAAAAAATGAGTTCCAAAAGCCTAATGAAAATTGCAAAATTGGTTTAGGGGTTCATATTCTGGTCTGAAAATATTTATTTAAGTCTTTTTTTTTCTAGTTTATTTGTGTTTGCATGTGCTTGAAGTGTTCCTAGCTATGGAACATAAATTGGAGTCTGTTGTTCGTTTGGCCGTCAGTAAATGGCTTTAGTTCGTTGGACCCCTATGTTTAGTTGGCTTTTATATATACTCTTGTTAACAAAAAAATTAGTATGATTAGACCACTAATCTAAATCAAAATCTTCGAATCACTTAAATTTAATTAATATGTTCTGCAGGATGAATGCTGATAAAAATGTCAACTAAGCTCAATCCAGCAAATAAATTAGACGCCTTTAACTTTTAAAAACAATGTTTCATTTTGTAAGTCCCAATTGCCAATAATATACTCATGAATATTTATAGGTGTCTTTGGCTTTTAGTAGATATAAAGTCTACTAATTCTTTTCTTTTCTTTTTTTTGGAAAGAAAGATTCAACTTAACTCTTTGAAATATGAAAGTAGTAAGAATAATAATAATAATAATATAAAAATTAAATAAATAAATAAACCTGATTTTATCAACATTTAGAATTAAAGTATAATTAATCCTACTTGAACATTGGTACATAATCCTTCCGCCTAAAAAACAGGGTTTAAATTCCTTTTTCTTCAATTATAAAAAATATATATAATTAATCCTAACAATACATAATGTATTGTTTCTTTTATTTATCCTCACTTTTAAAAGTTGAAAGCAAGAATTCACACTCTATTTTGTTAATTTTTTTTATTGCTTAAGTTTTACTCCCTTAAAAATGATAAAAAAGGGTAAATTTAATTGAAATCTAAAATTTCATTAAACAAAAATGCACAAATGGTTAAAATGTTACACTTATAAATTTAAATAAAATTACTTTATGTAAAAGTAAAATCATATATATTTTGTTTTTAAATTATTCAAAAATAAATAATTCGTTACTTTTAATTCAAACTGACACTTTACTTTCTTATATCCTAAAGAAAGAATGAAAAAAAAAAAACCCCCTCTACTCGGAGACTATTTTTTTCTCTTTTTCTTTTTCTTTGTTAACATAAAAAAAAGAAAAAAAAAAGAAGGCTCAGACTCCATATACTGCAAAGGACAAATGCATTGTCCCGTCGCAATCATATGGCAGGAACCTATCTGACTGAACCAGTAAGCAGTCGGCAGCACAATCTGCCCTAGTTTTGTCAAAAAGTCGCCTTGTTAATTCCCACATGCAAAGTGTGTCTCATTACCATATATTACACCGACCAAAATGCCACAATCCATTACCATTCTTTTTTGAACATATCTTGCACTTACTCAGACATTAGATTTCTCCTATTGATTTTCTCTGCATTAATGCAATTTTACTTTTGAGTTATTATGTAACAACCAACTCACACTGCCGTTATTGACGCAAAAATCATATAAATAAACGTATATAACTCGACTAACTTTCTAAGCATTTTATTTTTTCTATATTTATTTTTCTCACATTTTCATTGCTGCTCCAATTAAATTTGTCAATCATCAATATCATTGTCTCATCCATAATTCACATTGAAATAATAATAACTAAATAATAGTTCAAAGTGTTTCGATGACACAACTCCACATTTTTAATTTACAATATGTCAAGATCTTAGTCTCAAAATAATTCTAAACACATTATTTATTATAATTTTAAAACGACTCGATGACTAGACAGCAAAACAATGTGAAGAAAACTAAGAGATGCCATTATCTACACCGCTACAAAAGGTTTCCTTGCCAACGATGTCTCCAACTATCTATTTATTTGCATATTAAATAACGTGAGCGAGTCTCACAGACTCAATGATCATCAACTTCGTAAGTAAATGGAAAAGAGAAACAAACATAAAGATGGTGTATTTATAAATTCAAAAATAAACGTCAAAAGCATACTCTATTAAACTGAGAGATTTTTATACCTTGCAAGTCTTAAGAATAATAAATCATAAATAAATACATATGAAAATGGTTATATTTAGCATGCGGGAAAAAATCTTTCAACTTCAATATCCTTGTAATAGTAAACCCAATGGCAAGTATAAATAAGTAATCTCAAGCTTAGTTGTGGGGTGTTTATCGAGGTCTAAGCCTAGCTTGGGAATTGGGTTATCGCAAAATAGAGCTCCAGGTTGATAGCAAGTTAGTGGTGCAAGCCATAATTTCCCCTAAGGGTCATCCATGTTCAAATTCACATTTGATTGAAGCTATTCAGCATTTACTCCAACGTCAATGGGAAGTCAAAACACGACACATATTTGGAGAAAGAAACACTCTAACCGACTTCTTAGCAAACAAAGGCTTCTCGATAGAAGAGGATTACGAATTTTATGATGTGCCACCCATAGACACTAGATCTTTTCTCATGGAGGATACATTGGGGATTAACTTCCCTCGTTTAATTAGTGTTCAATAAAGCTCCTTTTCAACAAAAACAAAAACCTCTTTTTTAATTGTGAAATAATTGCAGTCGGTAGGAGTGCATGCTATTTGAACCGGGGTCCAGGAGAAACTTTCCAACAGTAATATTTGTCATGTCATATATCTACCTGCACTATTAGTTTATTATACTTTTCCAAGGGCAGCTGCATTTGGTATTAACTTTTTCGTTTTTGTAAATAACTTTTCAGATTTTATGTATATGCTTTACAACTTCCCAGTAAAAGCATAAAGTAAAGTTTGGGAATCTGACTTTATTTATAATAGTTCTTAGATATACTTGAAAATAAAATAATAGCTTTTTATAAGAATCAATAATTTCACTTTTGAAATAAATGCAATAAAAATTTTCAAAAATAAATACAAAAATATAATCTTACTTTCGTTAATATTTATACATATGTTAAAAAAAAGTGACAAGTGGAGTCCTTCGAATCACTCTCACTATGCATAACTAATATCTAATATGAATATATTAAAAGACAAAACTTTTGGAAAAATAAAATTAATCCTGTGTGAATAGTCTATTTTTTATATGTTTATATTTTAAATAAATATCATGTATTTATCAATCAAAGTAAAATTTTAATTCATAGCATTGAAAGATTAGATTTATTACATTTGCTTATTTTTATTTGTATATTTTGCACATCTAATTCAAGTTGAAATTAGATACTAATTGTTAACCTAAATGAACATATAAACTAATATAAATATATAAAAAGAGCTTTTGGTAAAAAAGGAATAATCTTATGAATAGTTTATCTTTTTAACAAGTGTACGATCCAAATAAAATGTCACGTGTTTTTTAATCAGTACAAGATTTTAATTTTGATATTGAAGAACTAAATTTACTACATTTGATTATTTTTATTTACATATTTTTATGCATTTAATAAGTTCAATTTATATTCTAATTGCTAGCCTGAATGAACCGTTAAGTGGTCATTTCATGTTCAAAATTTAAATTCAAAAAATATATTTGCTAGCATAACCCAAAGAAGAGGAAAACTTTATAATACTAAACTTTTGGTTTGCGGATTGTTTCACATAATGTTTTATGATTATGTAATGGTTCAAGTTCAAGTACTGACCTAATAACTTTTTAGACTTAAATCACGTGATTCTCAAAAACTTAAACTGCTAATAGTAATAGATTTGGATTATTATATGGATCTTAATGGGGTCTCACATTCTCACCCACTCAAATTTTTGATGTCCTCATTAAAGTCTAAGTTTAAGATCTTACTAAAATAATATGAAAATCCACATTGGATTGGCACAAACTTTGATATCATTTTTAACGATCCAAATCCATTACTACTAGCAACTTAAGTTTGAGATTTTGAGAGGCACGTGATTTTGGCTTGAAATATTATTAAACCAGTACTTGGACTTGACTCGTTACAGACTATAATTACTATTAATCTAATTTTTTTAATACTTATTACTAATTAATTTAATTATCAATCAACAATTCACATTCAAAATTCAAAATTTTACTTATATGATTACTCCTAATCCCGATTTCTATTACCAAAGTTTGGTTTCTTATTTTATATCTCTTTGAATTATTCAATTTAGTTTATACATATATTTTGATCTCTTTGATATATTATTATTTATATTTTTGCATTTCAACATCTTGACAAATTATTCTATTTTTATTTTCTTATGTAAATTGTTTAACTGCATTCATATCAATAAATTTTCATCAAAATCAATTATCCTTCTAATTGTCAAAATCGTTATGACATTGTTTTTAAACACACGTGCTTCCAACTTAACGTTTTTCACTCTATTTTATGCTGCTATTTTTATTTTAAATTTAAAAAATTATTATAAAAGAAATCATTCTTCTGCATGGTATGAGTTTAATTCTAGTATTTTCATAAAATAGTGTAAAAAATACTTATTGAAATAACACATTCTTAATTTCAGAGTTTTTACATTAAAATTTTAAAAATAACCCCATGAAAATTTATATAAAATATAAAAAATTGCAAGAGTAGAAGGTTAATCAGCAAACACCCTTTAATCTAATGAAAATCTGAATTGTAAGATGAAATAGCAAAAAATGGTTATCGAATATATTATTAAATAAATTAAAACAGGAGCGGCAGGTGAAACATCAACAACCAGCATTAATTATTTAATTGCCCCTCCCGATAATTTTCTTTCTTTTTTTTAAGTTCGTCGATCTTACACCGTTCCCAATAATTAAAGTCCAATAATTAAATTGTTAAATTCAACTTTTAAAGTTTGATGTTATCTTTATTGAATCATGTTCGGACTTTGACTAGACAAATGAAAAATCACTAAAAAATAACTAAATGAAAAGTAAGCTTCACCACATATTCAGGTCATTCCCGTACAATAATTAATGGAATAAGGCAAGCCCAATCAGTGCCCTCAGATAAAGACTTGTTCAAGGGAAGGAAATGGAAGAGCCATGGCTGGGTGGAAGAGAGGAAGAAAAATGGAGGACAACATGGAGTGCCTTTTGGGAGGAGCTAAAGATGGTGAGCTATATTGCGGTGCCGATGGTGGCGGTGATGGTGTCGCAGTACCTTTCTCAGGTCATTTCGTTGATGATGGTTGGACACCTTGGGGAGCTTGCTCTTTCCGGTATTGCCATAGCTTCCTCCGTCACTAATGTCACTGGCTTCAGCTTTTTTGTAATGTTCTCTCTCCCTTTCTAGCTCTTTGTGTTGTTCACTTGCAAATTTGCCGGCGTAAGCATCTTAGTTTGGATAGACGTTGAAACTGGTCAACACATATGCTAATTTGTAGCAGAGTATAGTTCAAACTGTATCACGCGAGCATATTAAAGAAAAATGAAGAGCTCACGTAACATGCACAGCGCAAAAAATCAACCTTTATGAAAAGTTTTCTGTATTCTTTTCTCCCCAAGCAACCGATTAAGCAATAGATTTAGAAATTGCTCTAACTGCATTTAATCAGCCTAACTCATGAAACGGTTTGTCAAAAGAAAGATGTATTCGGCTTATTTAAGACTTGATTATTAAATTTAAGAAACCTAAACACTCTGTTAGACACCTAATTTTAAGTTCCCTGAAGATTTTGTTCAATTTTATATGTAAGAGATTTTTATTTTATGCATAATAGGAAAGTGTCAACTTTGATTTTCTTCATTTAAAAGAAAACATGGCTTATCAATCTTCCCTAAAAGATCTTATACAATTTTGATAGGCAAACCCTTGGCCCCAAGGCCAAATCATGTCTCAAAGACTGAAGACATTTTGTTAAATTTTTTACGTAGAACATTTAGTGGATAATTTCTTGGAGTAGGCTGAGCGTCAAAAATCAAAATGAAAAGCTCAAAAGTTATAAATGGGTATATTTATAATTTTAATATTTTTCTTATTTAGTTAGGGGTCTTACATAGGAATTATAGATATAATAGAATTTGTTTTTTACTTGTATTAGGACTTTAGAATAGTCATGTTTTAATTAAGAATAAAATATTTATTTTATTTAAATCTCTTGTTAATTATTCTAATTGTACTAGACAATCAGAGGTAGAGTTTTGTTAAGATTTGGGCCTATAATACTATAATTAGGACCCTTAGGCTTAGTTTTTGAATGATTCGAATAATATTCTTAAGTTCTTCTCTCAAACTTGAGTTTAAAGTTTCAATATTTGAAACTTGGTTATTAACCTTCAAGGCCTAGTCAAGTGCTAGCTTTTTGTTCCATACTAACTCGTTGCGTCAGTTGGTATTAGAGCAGGCAAAACTTGTCCAATCTAATGACAAGTGAACCTGTTATGGTAGGTGGCAATTCTCATGGTGAAGATAGGGGAACTGAGACCTTGCAATCTACAATGCAAGATCAAGAGGTGGAGTTGAGGGCTTTGGAGCAACGAATGGATCTCAGATTATAGTGAATGGAACGACGCTTTGAAGAAATTGTAGATCGACTTAATACCTCAGGTGTAGATGCCAACAAAAATCAGAATCATGAGAGGTCACATACCGGAAATGACGTAGCTCTTGGACAACCTGTCAACAAACCTGTTCTTGCATATAGGCGTAAACAATAGGTCTACATAGAAGATTCAAAAGAGGATGATAATTATGTTACAGAAAGGTATGCTGGATATGGAAGTAATGATTATGGTGACAGAGATACACATGATTTCAAATTAAAGGTAGATATTCCTTACTTTAATGGGAGTCTGAATATTGAAGATTTTTTAGATTGAATTGCAGAAATAGGAAGATTTTTCGAATATATGGAAATTTCAGAAAAAAGAAAGAGTAAGACTTGTCGTTTGTAAATTGAAAGGTGGGGCTTTTGAATGGTGGAAAAGTTTGCAGTCTAGAAGGAATCGTAAGGGGAAAGCACCAGCTAGAACTTGGTATAGGATGAAGTAGTTGTTATAAAAAGATTTTCTTCCTCCTGATTATGAGCATATTTTATTCCAGCAATACCAATGGTGCCATCAAGGTTAGAAAACTGTACATGAATATATTGCAGAATTTATGAGACTAGTAGAACGGAATGATCTAAGGGACACTAGGGGGCAACAGGTTGCTAGGTATCTAGAAAGGTTGAAACCAATTATCAGAGACAAGATAGGGGTACATGTATTACGAAATTTATCTGAAGTATGGAATATTGACTTAAAGGCTGTATTAATGTTGTGGGAAAGGAATAGACTTGATTATTCTCGCAAAAGTTATAACAAGGATAATTATAAAGCATCCAATGACAAGAATAAATCAGTTCATAATAGTTCTACATGCAATGACTGACACAAAGAAGAAAAAGCAGTTGGAAAGCAAAAAGTGATAGATGTAAAAGAAGGGTACAAAGTTGCAAATCCCAATGCTAAACCAAATCTAGAGAAATATTTCAAATGCAATCAACTTAGTCATAGATCTAGTGACTGTCCTCTTAGGAAAACAATCCATGTGATGGAACGAAAAGAAGCTGCAACCAATTTTGTTGTGTTAAAGGAAAAGCTATGTACCACTCCTATTTTAGCATTACTTGATTTTGATACATTATTCAAAGTTGAATGTGATGCTAGTGGTGTGGGAATAAGAGCCATTCTTTCACAAAAGAAAAAACCAATAGCTTTTTTCAGTGAAAAGCTCAATGAGGCAAAGCTCAAGTGGACCACGTATGACAAAGAATTATATTCTATTGTGTGTGCTTTGATGAATTGAGAGCATTACCTGGTTGGGTGAGAATTTGTTTTGTATTTAGATCATGAGGCATTGAAGTACTTGAATAGTTAGAAACGGATTAGTAAAGATATACATGCTAGGTGGTTTTAGTTGTTGCAAAAGTTTCCTTTTAAACTAAAGCACAAGGCTGGAGTACAGAATAAAGTAGTAGATGCATTGAGTAGACCTGCAAATTTGTTGGTGACAATGAGACAAGAAGTTGTAAGTTTTGATACAATTAAGGAATTATATCATACAGATGAGGATTTTCATGATACATGAGAAAAGTGTATCACAAATCAACCTATTGGGGATTTTTACGTTTATAATGTTTTTTTAATGCGAGGCAACCAGCTTTGCATTCCTAGATGTTCATTGAGAGAAAAGTTGATTAGAGACTTGCATAGTGGACGTCTTGCTGGTCATTTAGGCAGTGATAAAACGATTGCTGCTATTGGAGAGAGATATTATTGGCCACATCTGAGAAGGGATATAACAAGATTTGTGCAGCGATGTTACATATGCCAAACTACAAAAGGACAGTCCCAAAATACTAGTTTGTATATGCCTTTACCTATTCCAGAAAATATTTGAGAGGATTTATCTATGGATTTTGTGCTTGGATTACCTCAAACGCAAAAGGGCATGGATTCTATTTTTGTTATTGTGGATAGGTTTTCTAAAATGGCCGATTTTATCCCTTGCAAAAAGACTTCAGATACAAGTGGAATAGCCAAAATTATTTTTCAAGGAGGTTGTTCATCTACATGGTGTGCCTAAACCATCACTTCAGATCGAGACAGTAAGTTTCATGGTCATTTTTGGAGTAATTTGTGGAAGATGTTTGATTCATCCTTGAATTACAGTAGCATAACTCATCCACAAACTGATGGCCAAACTGAATCGGTGAATAAAACCGTTGGCAATCTAATGCACAGTATTTGTGGTGATAGACCAAAGCAATGGGACTTCACATTGACACAAGCAGAGTTTGCTTATAATAATGT